ATAAAAGCCAATTATGATTGTGAGTCAAGATACCTGTATCTTTAAAGTTTATACTGTTAATCTTTAGTCAACATTGCAGAAGTACAATATTATATTGAAATAATGTAATACATTACATGTAATATATTGCCTACAAAATATGTAATATTACTTATAAAATATAATAAATTAAAAAGAAAACTAAAATATAGTTAGAAACATGATTAACATTAATTCTAAAATGAGTTAACAATTAAAAGCTTGGTGAAAGTGATGCACTGAAAAAAATGGGACCAAATTCAGTTTCTCAGTGTGTATGTTTGTATTGCTTCAGAGCAACATAAGACTCCCCCCCACCACATGATAGAAAGTGAGAACTCTTATAGTGAGGCCTATTTTTAACAACCAAACAGATATGTAATAACTTGTCAGATGGAGCTGGGAGAGGTGAATTTTCCATTTTTCTGTTAATCAGGAATCTGCAATTGCCCACCAGGTCAGTCCATCTCAGAATAAAGCCTGGGCAATATATATTTTTAAAGCAACTGACCTGACAATGAAGAGCAGAACATGCTGGAGGGCCACCATTTCTGTTTCCTTATCTTCTATAATTGAACTGAAATCTGAAAGGAAAGAAAGCTAGCCAACAGTTGACCTCCTGACCCTGCAGTGGTCAAATTGCACAGTGGTGGGATCCAAATTTCTTAACAACTGGTTCTGTGGGAGTGGCCTAATTTGTGGGTGTAGTTTGGTGGTCACGTGACTGGCTGGGCATGGTTCGGTGGTCACGTGACTGTTTGGGCGTGGCCAGGTGGCCATGTGACTGGTAAACCAAATACAAGTGGTCCTTGCTTAATGGCGGGTTGCTTAGCAAGTGTTCTAATTTACGACTGACCTCCCCAGAGCTACTTGACCTGTTTTTGGAGTTTTGACAGCCACACACACACACACACACCCTTCTAACTCTGCTATTCTATGATTCTGTAAGGATCTGCTGGAGCAGGGGGTTGGACTAGAAGATGACCTCCTAGATCCCTTCCAGCCCCAGATTGCTGTGCTGTTTCAGAGTCTTCTGAAGCCAGGGTTTGTGTCCTTCCTTCCTCTCCTTTTTTCTCTCTCTCTCCCTCCCTCCCTCCATGTATTTATCTATCCATCCATATATCTCATTCACTTTCTCCTCCCTTCCTTCCATCTCTCCCTTTCTTTGTCTATCCCTTTTCTTCCTTTTGCTTGCTTTCTCTTTTCTCTTCCTTTCTCTTTTCTCTTTCTTTTCTTTCTTGTCTCTTCTTATCTCATTCCTTCTGTTTCTCTCTTTCCCTCTCTCTCTCTGTGTCTCTCTATGGCTCTCCCACCCCCGTATCTCTCTCTGTCTCTCTCTCTGCCCTCTCCCTATCTTCCACTTTCTCTCCCCGCCCTCTCTCAAAGCCGCGGCTGGGCCAAGCCAGCAAGCTTTCCTTGGCGCTCTTCGCTACTTTTTTCATTTCTTTTTTTTTGGAATCCAGACTGGTTGAAAAACGATCGCCAGCCATGGTGGAAGCACCCCTTTGGGCGACACTTTTCCTTCTCCTCCTCTCGCGACCGGCGGCTATGGCAGGGCTGGGAGGGTGCACACACATGGGGAGCCTCCTCAAGCGAGCAGCCGCCCACCCCGCACCTGGTTTTGCTGTGCTTTGGCACTTGCTTGAGGAGCGTCTCCCCTCGCATGTGCATCCTGCCGGTCCTGTCACAGCCGCCAGTCACAAAAGGAGGAGGAGGAGAAAGGTCACCCGAAGGGATGCTTCCACCGCAGCTGGCAGTCGTTGTTCAGCCAGTCTGGATTCCAAAAAGAAGAAATGAAAGAAGTAGCAAAGAGCACCAAGGAAAGTTTGCTGGCTTGGCCCAGTAGCGGCTTTGAGAAACACACACACACACACACACACACACACACACACACACACACACACACACACACGGAGTGGGGGGGAGAGATGGGAAGATAGGGACCCGGATGCTTTGCTACTCCCCGCCCTTACCTTCTCATGCCAGGAGGGGGAGGGGGAGGGGCAGGGCCAGCCGCTTCGGGCAAGGTTAAGAGGCGGCGACCAAGCACGGGTGAGTAGAAGCCTGAGATCAGTGGTCCCGGCTCAGACAGCCCAAGGGGCTTTGAGGTCAGATGGCTTGGAGCTGCTGAGATCCGAGCGAGCATTGCATCGTGGGTTCACCTGAGCACCCATTTCTTTGGTGTTGGCTTTACGGAGCCGCGGGCTGAGGCCTGGGCTAATGTGTGACAGCAGCGCCTTTAACTGCACTTGCTTGTAAGTGTTCAAATAATCCATCGAAGACACCGGAGGAGTCGCTCAGGTAGACCTCCCTCCTCAGCAGTCTTCCTGCAGAAAATGGCCATTCGCTGAGCTAAGAAGGCAAGGAGTTGCGGCTTGACTCATCCAATTCCTAGGACTACTCCGAATGGTCCCAATTCAACATGGAGAGGGCAGCTTCCCCTGACAATCCCCTTTTCCTTGGTGCTCTGACTTCCCGTAGCCTGCTGGCCTTAACGCTGGGTCAGACCACTAGAAGGCCACTTCCCTGCTTCTCAATGGTACTCCTGTCCTGGCCACTGCAGGACCCTTTATCTCCTTCCCCAACTTCTTCCTCAACTTCGAAATGACAACGCCTGTTCCCGACACAGGTGTGACCAGGCAGGCGTGGCAGAGCCAACCGGGGTGATTGTTCTGGGTCCAACAAAGGGGCTGTAGGAGGGAGAGGGAAGGGGTGGCAGGCAAAGGGGCCATGCGGGCAGCAAAGTATCATGCTCCCTGATTGCCCACCCCCACCTCCCCACCGCTGACAAGGCCCAGCAGCTGTGGTGAATCTGAGCTAAATTTCGCTGTACTGGAGAACATGTGGAGAGGCTCATGTTCTCCTGCTGGTGGGAGAACAAGAGAGTTTTTCCTGGCACAGAGAAAAGTTTGCAAGTTCCCCTCCAATAGGGAAACAGGCGGCTCCAGGCAGCAGAGAAGCAGCCCGGTTGAATCCTGTTTCTCTCTGCTGCCCAGAGCTGTGCCAGGAAAGACTCTCTTGCTTTCCCAGCAGCAGAAGAACATGAGTCTCTCCACATGTTCTCCGGTACAGTGAAATTTAGCTCGGGTCCCCACCAGTCTGCATCTTGCCCCACACCTGGATTCACCACAGCTGCTGGCCCTTACTGCTGGGGGTTAGGGCAGCAGGCGGCGGCAGCAAAAGGCAAGTGGGGTGAGGGAGAAAGGCGATCGGCAGTGGCAAGTAGGTGACTGGGCCCTGGAACTTGCAGACCCTCACTCACCCAGGGAGACCAGGCAGGGCCACAATGGAAGGCATGCAGTAATGGCTGGCCTGGCGGGTGGGCTAAAGCAGGCTGCAGGTGATGCTGCGCATGCACGATAAGGACTGACTGGGCGCAGAGGGGAGGGGTGGGGCCAGCCAGTGGTGCAATTTGCCAGTTCTCTGAACTGCACAGAATCATAACAACCAGTTCTATAGAACTGGACAGAACCGGTAAATCCCACCCCTGAAATTGCAGCATTCTATTATATAAATCCCTCTGATTTCTGGTCAGTTTTTATTTCAGACTGTTTTTATCCCCCCTGTTTACCTGATTATTTTTAATATAAGACCACAATAAATATTTCCTCTCATTTCCAACATGTCATATGTGGAATAAATTTGTTTGGTGAAGCTATGACTATACAAGATGTGTGGTAGCAATATTTTAAAATGTCTACATATTTATTGGTTAAAATATAGAAACTAGAAAGTAAAATAGTATGTCATGTGAAAAATTGTACTTTCAATTAATTTTATTCCCTCTGCAATATTCTTGGCAAGGTGTTTAGAAGTGTCTTGCCAGTTCCTTCTTTCTAGGATTAAAAGGGAGTATTTGTTCCAAAATCAGCTGGTTTTTTGCCTAAGGAAAGACTAGATCTCTCAGTCTTTATATATGTTTTTTACTTTATTAAACTTCAATTATTTACCTATTCTTTCCTTCTTTCTAGGATTAAAAGGGAGTATCTGTTCCAAAATCATCAGCTGGTTTTTTGCCTAAGGAAAGAGTAGATCTCTCAGTCTTTATATATGTTTTTTACTTTATTAAACTTCAATTATTTACCTATTTCTGAAAGCATGATCTGGATCATGCTTTCAGAAACACATCAGATTTCTCAGTGCGTTTAATAGTGATAGAGCTTCTAATATATTGTGTTCATTGGGATATATTCAGAGATGTAGCTGCCTAGACAATAGCCCAATTTGAACTATATAGCCCAGTCAAACATCAGCACAGAAAATGTTTTATGTCATTTTGTATTATGTTACATATCCTTTTTCTGATTATTTTTATGTCATAAAATGTTTTATAAAATTGCCAAATTTCAATTATTTCAACCATTTTTGGAGGGATGACGGAGATTAATTAAACCCTCTTTGGAGAAACTTTCTTTTTAGTTTGGAGCCTCTGGGATCCTGTCTGGCATGTCTCTTGCTGGATCTGATCCAAAGTATAAAGCTATGTTAGGCCTGGCTCCTACTGTCACAAGCAAAAGATCCTAGCTCTGTGCCACAGCTGCACCAAGGAACTCTCATTATTACAGTTAAGCTAAGGCAGTCAGATAGTTTTAGAGCTCTGTATCTCTTAAAGTTGTTGTTGTTTTGGTGTCTCATAATTAGCAAACAGAATCTGTTGTCTGTAAAGTAAAAAAAAAAATAGTTTGCAATGCTGCATAATTCCATTTAATACTGGGACATTTTGCTATTGAATAGATGTTCTATTGAACATGATTTTGAATGAAATATTTGACAAATTTCAGAAATTTCAATTTTTTTATTATACACTGTTTTTTACATGAAAAAACATGTAAATAACATTACATGCCTTTTTCATTATAGGATAAAGATTGAATGAGTAGTGAGTTGCAACTGAACTGATGTTTCTTTGTTATAATTTCATAGACAAATTTCTCAGGCTCTTTTTCTAATTTACCTTTTCATTGTTTTGCTTGTGTTCACAGAATCTTCTGTATCTAAAACAGTTGTACTTTCTGCTTTTCGAAAAGGGAATTACTTACCAGCAGATTTGGAAGGTAGTGTTATAGCATCATACAATACAGCGACAGGTAAATTATTAGAGAATGTAAATATATGATAAAATAATTATAATAGTTTATTTGAAAATAATTCTATATATAACATTTTATGTCTTAATGTCTTTGTAGAAACAATGTTAACTATAAAATAAATCATTGAAGGATACTGTACATCTCAATTTTACCTTGGTCTTTCTTATTGTGGGGATGGGCACTAATCTACATAAAAACACTTTGTATTTTATGTAGGCTTTAGAAGCATTATTGAAAATGCAATATTGCAGCAAAATTTTCTCTTTCCCTTTTAAATTAAACATTAAAAAAATCAAGTGACACCAAGGATCAGGCTTAAGATGCATTATCGCACCTAGAATTGGGGGTATTTTGATTTAATATATGTGTGTGTATATATATATATATATATATATATATGATTTATTTCAGGTGCACCAAGGGTTGCCCAATGCACATTCCGATTACCTTTGCGGCTGGTTTGTTTTCCTGCTCAGCCTTTAAAAACAGCAAGCCAGAAGTTAACTATTGATACCAACAAACCTACAGTCAGCCTTATTACTCTTTTTTCAGGTAAAAATTCAAACAATAGGTTTTTTAAATAAGAAAATGCCTGCAATAAAGATGAACATTTGGAAGAAATTATGCAAACTGTGTTTCTTCTTTTTCATGTAGACTTTGCTGATCAAATTGATGAAGATCAACTTAATGTTTTAGGATTTCAGTTATTAGCTGGCTCCAGAATCACTTTACTTGCTTCGAAAACTTCTCGTGAGTATCTGATTAATTGAAATAATTCAGAGTTGGGATTTGTGTTGGATTATACAGGAACTATTCCTAAGATCTAGATTTGGTTAATTTTAGAATTTGGTTTGATTAATATATGCTATAACAAATCCACATAAGATTAGAACATTATAAAATCACTAGTTCTTACGTTAAGCGTGTTTTTGCATGAAAAAGACCAATGCTTGAATTCTGAGTCTCATTCAGTTGGTATTCATTAATTATTCTATCATATCTATGGTGAAGAAAGGCCAGCATGTTTAATAATCATATTAACAATGTTCTTATGCATATGTAGAAATAATTACTTTAATAATTACTGATGCCATGCCTAATTTTTATTTATTTATTTATCTATCTATCATCTATCTATCTATCTATCTATCTATCTATCTATCTATATCTATCTATCTATCTATCTATCTATCTATCTATCT